AACAAAATATTGATAGAAATATCAAGAATAAGCAAATGAGAAAAGTCCCATAAGAAAATGGTGAGAACCCTTCATCGGATAAGACCGGTAAAACCTCCAACACCGAAAACATCATAGAAGACGCATGCGAACTCCGTTTTCGATGAACTCAAGCTTGTCATCAAGATGACCATAAGCTCTAAGACTCACAAAGATAACCAAACAAGAACCAAGAAACATGATGCAAGGATGCAATGGTTTGAGCTCTCTACTAACGATACGATCAAGCTACCAACTTGAGAGCCCCCCTTGATAGTACAGCAAACGATCCTATACCTCGGTCTCCCAACTACCACCACAAGACCGGTAAAATAGAAAACCTATCAAGGGAAAACCTTTGCCTTGCACATGGTCCACTTGAGCTAGATGAAGACGATCTTGACTCCCTCAAGTTGGACCACCTTTCTTGATTGCGTTGGCTCGATGAAGACTAGATGATTGCTCCCCCATAGTTCACTATGGGTGAGCCACTCTTCGGCACATCTTCACAAGTCCATTGACACCACAATGGATGGCAAGATTCAAGCACTTGATCTCTTCGTGATGCTCCACTTGAACTTGCACACGGCAATCTTGATGACGATCACCACTTGATGTCATCCTTTCCATGGGTTGTATGATATCTTCCTCTTGACGCAAGCCCATGGATACGTACCTAACCCCACATACAACTCTCACATAGACCATGGGTTAGTACATAAAGTGTAATGGACAATGCTTACCATACCATGGGATCACTTGATCCCTCTCGGTACATCTTCTATGCTTTGTGAGTTGATCAACTTGATTCACTCTTGACTTAGTCTTGATCAACCTTGAATCTTTGCAAATCTCTTCATTTGGATGATGTCTTGAAGGTAAACATGAATGATCACACAACCTTCTTCTTCAAGACATGCTTGCAATAAGCTCAACACTTATATGACCAATCTTTGGATAATTCCTTAATAGCACCTTGGTCATCACAAACTCTCATTGAAACCAACAAATGGACTCCAAGAAAAGCCTATGGGCAAACCCTTCAAATAGAACTCAAGGCAACCATTAGTCCATAGAGATTGTCATCAATTACCAAAACCACACATGGGGACACCACATGTCCTTTCACACACGAGCATGCCTAATTAACCAGCCCGTGTTATGCGGCCGATGGCCCTAGGAATCAGGGCCCACCTGTCCTGATGAGCCAGACCGAGGCAAAAAGTGCCATCGCCACCACCTGCATGCTCTCCTCGAGATCCGTATGGCGCCGCCGCCGCCAGCCGGTGTCCTTCTCTGCCCCCAATCTCCGCCACCCCCAGCCTCCTCGATCTGCAACCTCCTGCTCCCCCTGCGGGCGCGAGGGATCTCAGGCCGCCGTCGCCCTTCGGGAGCTCCCTCTCCTCCCTGCCTTCTTTCCGTGGCTCTGCGGACGCGTGGGATCTCGGGTCGTCGTCGCCCTTTGGGAGCTCCCTGTCCTTCGTGCCTTCTTTCCATAGAGTGAGGGACCAAGCGCCGTATGCCATCACGGTGGAGCTATCATGTTGTCGCATTCCCTCGGGTCGTCCGGGCGCCCCCTCGGTCCCAGCCACCCATGGTCAAGTTCTGCGTCCCTGCTCCTTCTTCCGTTTGACGTGTGTAAGCCTCCACTACCCGCTCCCAACTGTGTAAAATTTGAAGTTGTGGTTGGCATGAGAGACACCTTGATGATGGCATACGTGCTGCTGGCCGCTGCCCTGTTACCCCCACCGCCAGCAGGGCCCTAAAGCTGAGTGACATGCTGCTGCTGCGGCCCACCACCATCCGTGAGACATGGAAATCTAAGAACCTGCAGGTTTGTATGACACTCATGCTCGCCATGTGTTTGCTGAAATGCTCCCATGTAGATAGATATATAAGTTGATGTTTATACCTTAAGCATTTGGAAGATGTTCATGTAGAATGTCAGTATGCAAAAATAAATCGCAGCTCCCTACATTGGCTACTTACCATTACTCTTATCATGTTAGACTAAGTTGTATGGATTATATGATGGATCGTTTATGTTTTGGTAGTAGGTTCTGTGTCCTTCACGCAGTTCAGAGCTGAATTTTGTACAAGGCTGATCGACTTTGTTGGTGTGGATTTCCAATTAGCAGCAATGATGGACTTTGTGTGGATTACCAATTTAGCAGCAACTCTGCTGCAACTTTGGCAACACAACCAACATCAAGTGCCACACTGGTAGTCAAGGGTCGGTTCAATATTTTAATTACTGATGGTTTAATCTATGTGTAATTCATCGACCATTTGTGAATAGTCAAGGATTGATTTTATTAACACAAGATTCTCAACCTGTTATTTTCTGTTAGGTAAAGACAGTTATTCGCGTTATCTACAACAAGCATCCCTTTTCACACTCTATTAAGTAGAAATGGTCGCAGAATTTTGATTCAAACTAATCGAACCCTCTTAGCTCGTTGCAATCAAACAACTTAATTACAATATTTTTTTCGGTAAACACTGACACTCATTACCCGACTTCTATAATTTATTTGGCTCATGATGTCAATTATTTTGTGTCAATACAGTACAACAGAGGACTATACAATTGGAGGATCCACATCACTTATGGGAGCAAGAGAACCGAAACTGGTCCACTAACATACGAAAGTAGCAGCGCCTTGCACAGGTTGGGCTACTGCCGGGATTCGGAGCACTGCCTGCACAACCAGGGAGGGCTCGCCACTGAGGGCATCTTCCTCTACCCCTTGGTGATGAGTGGCCGAGCCATGGTGTGGAGGCGATGGGGATCATGGATTGTCTGATCGAGGAAGCCAAGGTTCACACCATGGCCCGGGCTCTCTACATCTTCGCCATATCCTACTTCCTCTCTTCCTCACAGGTAAGCTACATTCCATATCTCTTCCCCATTAATTTGCTACCTTTGATTAGATTTATCTGGTTGGAATTGGATCCTCATGTAGTTTCATGTTGATCTGAGCTACGTACATTAGCGATTATTTCTGCACAAGGATGTATTCAAGAAACACTTTTGGATGGTTGCTGGTGCTGGATGCAGTTGTTGGACTTGTGAGTGAATTCAGTGAATAATGTGTCAGAAAGTTAGACAATTTTGCTATGGATATTTTGAAATATTTGGCAACTTACTTGGGTGTTTTAGTGTTGTGCAGATGAATTTCCGATGCCTTTCACTTCTAGGAGTTGTGGTTTATCTATCAAAACATGAACCTTATATAAGTAATTGCTGTTCCATTGATGTGTCCAAATGACCCTGAAACATGAAAGTGAATTGATGATGATGCATGCTTCAGTTTCGGAAGATTGGGAAGCAATCCTCGTGACATTTCCGCGCGAGTTGACATTTCCATGTGAGTCTTTTTAAATCCACTTTTAGGTGACTCATTTTTCTATTATATCGAATTTAACTCTACATTTCAATTACTTATGAACAAAGATGGTGCAGATATTGAAGGAGGCTCAACATTGATGGTTACACCCTACTGAGATTTGTCAAAATTGTCCACTTTTTTCTTTTATGGGTGTAGCATCTGCAGGCATACATGCAATCATTATTTTTGTTAAGCAACAGAATGCTACATCTATGTACTGAGTTATAAGGGGCGATGGGAGGTGGTTTATGGTTTGATACGTCCGTAAAAGCTCATATGTATTTCACTGCATTTGTCTAAAATGTGTAGCCGCGTAGGTTTTAAGTTCAGAAGTTTGTATTGAGTATAAGGGCACTCTGATTAATTACATCAAAAATTGCTTTTTTCCATCGAGCTTCAGTTGACACGAAAGAAATTGTTTTTGTCTATGCCTTTGGTTTTTTTCTCCTTAGTGAGTTCGTACAATTTTTTTCAGGGGAAGAGATTCTTCAGCTACATGGGTGCAGCTTCTTATGTTTATGATCCATGCTTTGGACGACGGCCCGTAGCAACGCACGGGCATATTTTGCTAGTTATTTTTTTAATTTAATAATAAAGCACGGATTGGGTCTCTGGGTTCATCGTCGTGGCGTTTTTTTTAAAAGTCCCTTTGCTTTTCGAAAATAGAACCCACAGTCCATGAATAAGTGAGAAAAACGATTCGATTGTGCCTTCTGGTTGCCCGGCTGGGCGTTGGCAGGCGCTCCTGCCTGGGTTCGAACCAGTACTGGTGACTTTGTATTAAGATAGTACCACCGAGTGCGGGCTTTCAGAGGCCGAGCATCAGGCAGGCCGGAATCTGGGCCATTGAAATGTGCGTTGGGGGATCTAAAATCTGTCAGGCTGCTGGTAGGCCACTGTCAGGCTAGTCACGAATATACGGTCCGGGATACACCTAGTAGCGTACATGTTTGGCCCATGGCCTGCTCCTGTACCTCTTCTAGTCTTCGCTGCGGCGTCGCACACGTGAAGGCTGCTCCATCCTGTGTACCCGCTCTCCTCTCTCTCTTCCATTATTCCCGTCGCCCCGCTCTCCTCTCTCTCTCTTCAATTATTCCCGTCGCCAGCTACCTCTCGTCTGCTCATGGCTCCGCCACACCCTACCTCAGCTCCAACAATGCGCGTGCGACCGAAGTGATGGCCGGAGCACTCGTCCTCTTCCATTCCGGCGGCCAAACCACCCGGATCCCGCATCATCTTCCACTCCGGCGGCCAGATCACCTCGAGCCTGCGCAACACCGGATCTGCAGAGGACGCGGTCCTCGTCCATGGATCTGGCCGAGGGAAATCATTTTCTCCATTGTTTTCGTCGGTGAGGCTGGATCACATCCTGTACTTTGCTTTTCTTCTAGTTATTGTTCATCACCAGCGAGATGTGCTCCATTCGTGTTGAGTGCCATGCGTGCGTCTTCTTATTGACCGCCCGCCGGGCTTAGATCTGCGTCCCATTCTATTGATTTGAGTTTTTTTGCCTCACCACCCCTTTTCAGCAGGATCCGTGTTGGGATGGCAAGGCCGATTTCTGATGTCTTCCGTCGCGGGATTCCATCATCATCGCCGATTCCAGTTGGGCCGCGACGGCGAGGGCACACAGCTGTGCAGAGACGTCGGCTTTGATGTTTGCTCAGAGGCCACCAGCGGTTGGACCATAAGGTAATTGCGAATCTAAAACTCTCACATGTACATATTATGTAGTTTGATCATCGAAAAAAAATATGATGTAGTTTTCTTTCCAGGATAATGCTAGACGTTCCTTTTTCTGAGACACAAACGTTTCTTGGCCAAAACCAATAATTGCGGACTTTTTATTCTTGGTGGGTTGATTCTTGCTTTACCACGCGATTCAGTTTTTGGCATGTCTGCAGAAAAAAATGCAGAATTTATAGCCTTGTCGTGTCTTCGTCAGATCGATTGCTCTCATCCTGTACCGTTCTGCTATTTACCCCCCAATCCTGGATTTTGAACGAGCTACTGCAAGTTCATCGACCCTAGGCACTGTTCATAGTAAATTCAGGAATACAACAGTTGTTTTTTTGCCGAAAACTGCAATGCTATTACTTCTCATGATCTCATCGGGTACGGTCGGTGTAGCATGATATAGATAACTCCATAGTCATAACAGCGAGGCATGCTTCAGTAAGTTCAGGGGCTAATCATTCATATTGGTTACCATTGTCTTAGCGCTGCTCCATGCTCTGTTGTTTTTGATGGAATTTTGTGTACCACTTGTGATATGGAAGGATATTTGTGACATAGCACTATTTTGGGATCACCGAAATCAGTGTTGTTCTTGTTTTTTTCCTTTGTAGCTATTATTTATTGTTCATGGAAAAAGGAGATCCTTATCTAGGTCATATGTTTTATGAGAGGTATTGCATGCTAGATTTTGTTTTGTTTTGTACATGATGTACGATGAAATGGTCGGTGACTCACTGATTTTAGAGTGGTCTTGAACACCTGAAGTGGATCTCAAGCTAGTTTGTCATTAGGCATGATGCATTGTGGTTGTGTTAGAAACACTTTCTTATGCCTTGATCATGACTGTATTTAATTGCTTTGTGTTAGAAACACTTTCTTATGCCTTAGATCCGACCGACTTGGATTCACCGGTCATGTGTAGTATATCTAGAGAAATTTGATCTATTGTTCCGTCCACCCTATCATTGTTGAATTAATCATGGGTAGTTGGTTGTGTATTTGGAACTAAAAAACGTTAGATTTATCTTAATCGGAAAAAGGCAGTGTTTAGGATGAACCCTTTTTCCTCCATCGCTAGCCTACGATGAATGGAAAATAAATGAACACACAATATATTTTAGTGTGCAGGCCGTTTCTTTTTGTTCGGCACATCATCAGAGTAAAAATAATGAAGCTTTCTTTTAGCTTAGTCTGTTTTTAGTCGCCTCATTTTTATCTTGTGTTCTAGTTTTTTTTTTGGCGGGTATCTTCTGTCCTAGTAATTTTTTTTTGTGATTAGCCCTAGTATATATTTTTTTCATTTTCTCAGTAGATGATGATGATTGGAACACCCATGAACATACATTAGGGTTTAGGATTCATGCCATTTATTTTTGTTCTGTTGATTATCAGACTAGAAATGATGTGGCCTGAATACTAGACCCTGATGTAGACCGAGTCTCTTTTTATGATTAGGCTGTCATTTTGTTCAGTTGACAACAAGTTTTGGCCCCACCTTTGATTCGTTTGCCTGTTTGTTCAAAAAACGATACAGGGTTAGGATAAACTGCCTTGTGAGCAACATTTGAAGAGGTCCGCGTTTGCAAGTTTTGTGGAGTGCAAAAGCACAACATGTCTTGATAGAGGAGATTTTCGGAAGGAGCCAAGGAAATTGCCAAAATGTTTGAATGTGGTGTTCTGAATTGTGTGTGGTAAGGACACTGGACCATTTGAAGCTAACTTTCATTGGATGGTTGTTGTTAGCCAAAGAGTTTCCAACTCAGGAAATCCTTATTTATGTGCCGTTTCATGTAATCGCAAACTGTGTAATGCGACTTTACTATTGGACATGGACCATTTTGTTGAAGATTGTTAGTTGGGTGAAAAATTGTGTTTGCTGAGTGCCATTGTTGTGAGGCGGATTGTTATGTTTCAATTGAATTTACCGTTTGCATTTTTTTTAAATTTTGGCTTTGCATTTGTTTATGTACCGAATTGTGATGTTAATACTGCATTCCTTTGTGGGAGAGGGGTGCTCGTGCGGTACCGTTCATCAGTCTGTCTACCAGACATCATACGTGGTTCTTTGCCGGGTTGTCATCCTGCCAAGGTTTTGGGTTGGTCTTCGATTAGCAAATTGGTTCATGGTGGAGAGAAGTGTGAGTGCCCATGCCTAGCAGTGCACGCTGTAGCTACAGCTAGTGAGTTGACAACACTGCGCTTAGCATGCTTGGGGCAGGCGCCGCAGTAAATGAGGACGGGTAGTCCGCCATGGACAGGAACAGTCGAATTTAATGCAGATAGGAGACGGTGGAGAGTGAACCACACTGCGCGACGCAAAGCTGATGCACAAGACGTCTAGTGAACTCGCTAATTCTAACTAAGATTAGGGAGGACTAAACTTTTTTCCATGTTAGACAAAGCGCATGTGGCTAATCTGTTCCGATTTTCTAGCGTGTGGAACAGATAAAACTAAGGTGCCAGGTTAGTGGTAATGGTTTTTAAACACAAAGACAGCTTACCCGTGTTGCATTAGCTGGTCCAAACGGACAGACAAGTTTACATGAGACAGATTAAACTTGCTTAATGAACATGATAGCTAATGTGAACTACTCCCTCCCTTCCCAAATACTTGTCTTTCTAGGCATTTCAAATGAACTCAACATACGGATGTATGTAGACATATTTTAAAGTGTAGATTCACTCATTTTGTGCTGTATGTAGTCACTTGTTGAAATCTCTAGAAAGACAAGTATTTAGGAATGGAGGGAGTAACTTGCATGTTCGCTGGCCGCGAATGATCCACGTTCACACTTGACAAACTGGTGGTCTACGCTCGCCAACGTTGCTCAATGGCATGCACACAATGTACAGGTCTGCACGAGGAAGGACATACATGTCAGGTGAACGTTGGAGGCCTAGATGCTTTTGCATGTGCGTGGGGCCTGCCTAGTTCAATACGGAGCAAAAATAAATCCAATACATAACTTATACTCCTACAGCGCTGATCCCCATGGCAGTGCAGCGGCCGAGATTCCGGCCTGCCTGCAGCGCGGCCTCTGTTCGCATTTTCCGTAGTACCACCTCGCTATTTCAGTCTCCTATCGACTAAGTAGAACGAAAAGGAAAAAAAAATCCGATCCGACCTGATCGGACCAGCAGCGCTGGTGACGGCCATGGGCGCCGGTGGCCGGATCGGACCATCAGTGCTGGTGATGGCCATGGGCGCCGGTGGCCGGAGGGGAGGTACAAGGAGAAGGGGCGCAAGAGGGAGAGATGGAATGAAGGGAAGGGCTGCCCTGGCGGCGGCTGGTGCGCGCGTGTGGGATCGAGGCAGCAACCCTCACCGGTGAGGCCGCGGCCATGGCGCCAGTGGCCCACCGGTTGGCGGCGGCGGGGTGCGCGCGCGCGTGGGAAGTGGGGATCGAGCAGGTGCTCATCCCCTCTCGCTAGGTTAGCGGTTAGCGGGGAGAACTGGGCCTGCAGTTGGGCCAGTTCGGCCAGTTATAATCTTTGGGACCGGCTGCTGTTGCTGCTGCGCTCATTGGGCCGACCCACTGCGCATTGCTGAACAAATTCACAATTTTTAGAAAAGGAGAAGGAAGATCAAAGAGCATGTGGCCACTCTGACATATATCAAAGACCCACAACTTGAAATGGAGTAATGGAATCCACAATTCAACTTGAATTGGAGTAATGGAGAATAGAGTTTAATGGGTTCCAGATAATATTCGGAGGTTCGTAGGTTTATAAAGGAACCACCATGTGAATTCTATCAATTTAAATAGATCAAAGATCCATGCAATTTATTAATTCACATTTAATTTGGGTTAGCAATTTTTTTCTTCAAGTTGAGAGTTTAAATAACCAGATTAAAAATTAAAGCATCATGACATGATGCAATGCAAAATAAAATAAAAATATACTAATAAGATGAATTATGTAAAGAAACTAAATAATTGGTCCTGGGGTGTTACAACAAGCATAAATATGTGAAGGTGTTGCACCGAGCTTGGAGTGGGGTACCAGATGTGTGTGACTTTTTTTTAGAGAATACCTTAGATGCAAAACGCTTGTGTTTGGACCCAGTCAAAATAATGCCAAAAATACATTTCAATATTTAAAAAGTTTACATAAATGTTCAATAAATCATAAAATGCTTATGGATTCAATAAATGTTTGTAATTTTTTAAAATGTTAGAGTATTAAAAAATGTTCGCATATTTTGGAAACAAATGTTTGGGAAATAAAAAATATTCATTATTTTAAAAAAATCATGTATTAAAAAATATTAATGAAATTGAACAAAATGTTCGGCAAAATGTTATCGGTGATGCAAAAAAAAGTTGTCATGGTCATTGGAGATTATGAATATTTTTCTCCCGTTGCAACGTTAGATATATTGCTTACCTAATCTAGGGAATGGCTGTATTTAATTATTCATGATTCAAAATGTTATATATTTTGTTCATGTAAATGTTTATTTTGCATTCTACTCTAAAGCTTAGGAAATGGTTGGCAATAGTTTTTGTGTCTAGGGTTCTTCTCCTTAGATTTTGATTGATATGTAAGGGCATACAGATGTATCAACTATTTAGATGTTTTTTTTGAGATTCTGAACTTCAGGGGTGGGGGTGTCTTTAGCCATGCTTATTGGATAAGGTTAGGACCATGGGCTATTTTTTAAAACTCCCGCTGCAACGCACGGGCATATTTGCTATGCTATAAAAAACACTAATCTGCTTAACCTTATTATCGATGTTTATTAAAATTGGATATATAAAATGTTGCATAATGGAACATGAAGCCGGTTGTGCCCCTTTTTCACCCGGTGCAACGCACGGGCATTTGTGCTAGTGTACTGTAAGGTAAAATGCGTGTGCTGCTTAAATGGGCTGCAGTTAGTACGGCCCATTTAGTAGATATTATTTTTTACAAAAACTGTAAAAGTCTGCTTAAATTATAATCATAGTAATACAAACTCTACCACTCTGCATTTTGCACAAGTTAACATCAATATATTATAATCATAGTAATAAACTTAGATTCAAATAAACATGTCGTATTATTAATTACTTCATGGTAAACAAATATTCATGTGCATGTATTATTTAAAAAATCTATAAACCAGGCCCCATGCCATGTCATGGGTTATAAATATTTGTGGTACACCTCATGGTACACAAATTTTCATGCACAGATAAAATAAATATGTAGATGTATAATTATTCAAATGTTTGAATAATGAAAATAATATTTACAAACTGTAATTTTTTAAAGAAATTTGTAATATTTATATTATACAAAGATATTTATACTTAATATATATTATTTCAATTATCTGAATGTTTTAAAAATAGTGCATTAATAATTTTAAATTACATGAACATTTATAGAAATTATTTATTTAATTTTTTGATACAATTTATAACTATTAATACCACATGAACAGGTGAAATTTATTTGTATTACTGTGATTTATAATTTACAGACATTTTATAGAGGTTTTCTAATAACATGTGTTAAATTGGCCACACTGACTCCAACCCATTTACATAGCGCAAATGTTTACTTCACAATACATTAAGACGAAGGAGCCACAATTATCTAGTTAGATCTATCCAGTAGATGGCTAGCATAGGAACTGCACACGCATAAGGGTGCAGGTTCGATTCCTTGTGTCCACTGTTTTTCCTCCAATTTTCATTATCATTGACAAGGCGGGACCCAGTAGTCATACAGACATGGTATTCAGCTAAAATTATTTTTCGTCTCTACAAGTGGACCCCTATGCTATGTCAGCCAGATACGGTGCTTTACGTCTATAAATAGGATTAGCACCGTATTTGCACGTTTATGTCAAGTTTTAGAACCAATTTGTCGTATTTGTCAAATTCAGACACTAAAGTAAACATCTATGACAAGTTCAGGCACCAACTGGTGTTATTACCTCTTTATTAAACTATGATCAAGTCTGTTACAATAGAAGGAATAAGAATATCAGGAGATTTATCACACCAAATTTCAGAACACTGCCTTCTATAACTAGCTCTAGCTATCACATGTGCAGCTGCGTTGCTCTCCCTTGAACAATGCGTAATTATTGCTCTGCCGAACGATGTCATCATCTCGTGGCAATCATCGGTAATAACCGCACACGAAGCACGGTAATCTGCAGGTGAACTATAACATTAACAAACTTGGCGGGTTGTTGATCCAGTTGGAGGCCAAAACTTGGCGTTAGCCCCATTGCTTACCAAGAACTTGGCTGCCAAGTTCAATATTTCTTTGGATTTTAAGCTCGTTTAGAACTCGGATAGCAGCTGAAGAAGGACAAGTTAATAAAGTATTTGGCCTTAAGAATTTGAGCGCAAAGGTTGTCGTCGTTTTGAGAGAATTTTCCAAATCCATTTGGTGCTCAAAGCCAGATTCATGATTCTGGAATTAGTTATACCCAAACCACCTTGCGACTTTGCTTTACACAGGTCCTCCCATTGGATTTTTGAGAGGAAATGCCACTCTATAAATAAATCCACCAGGCAGAGTCAACAACATAGCCACGCCAAGCGAAACGACACAACACCCACAAAGTATCAACCCCAAATCACGACAAGCATAAGTTAACGTACATGGCGCCCAGACCAGTACACGGCACGCAGGCTGGAGACTAAGGAACAACGATAGTAGGGCCATCAACTCCTAACCGCCGTCCTGAAAGCGAAGAAGGGAGGTAGCTGTAGCCCGAAT